TAGCGAAGGCACAGCTGGCGATCACATCCATAGTGTAGGCGCCCATCAGTTGCTTCAACTCGACTTCATTCATACCATTCGACACATCCTTATCCAAGTTATTGAGGAAATCTTTGCAGCAATGATTGATCAGAGCATACATTTTCCTCATCTTTCCGGACGTGAAGGTAGGGCTGGCTATCGCCCGGACCCGCTTCCAGTCGTCATCCCTGGCACTGAACATGATTTTGGAAAACACGGAGTGACGGGTGACAGGTGTCCGTCGGTTACGAAATGCATTAAAATCTTTGACCAGAATTTGTTTGACGAGCTCCGGGTCGGCCACTGTTAGGCCGGGCTTCTCAAACGTGAACACTCTGTCCATTAGATTAGACTTATGTGACAATTGACTCATAATTAAGATAACGACTTATAATACGTACCCAAAAAGTCGGCCGTATTTCTTATACCACTCCATCTCCACGTCCGGCCGCGCCTTTAGGACAGGACTCAAGAAGTTTCCGTATATTGGGATCGGTTTGGGACCAGAAATGTTTCGGTTCTTCCAATAGCTTAACGCACTCTTCCACGTGCTGAATGAAGGAATAAATATTAAAAAAACATAAATTTATAAAAAAAAATATTCATTTGAAATGATTGTCATTTTAATGGTCCAATAAATGTCTTACAAGTGGTAATACGCCAGCACTGCCGCAATGAGTCCTATGAGACACCACTCGTATATCTGGGATATCTCTCCCAACACTGACCCCAACACTAAAGTCATATTTTACTGGATTATTATGAAATAACTATTTTATTAATATTTTTAATTTAAAGTATTTGTTACTCAAGTATTGAATTTATGAAACTGTTTGCTAAAGCAGTCTCTTTTTATATACTCTGAATACATGTTTAATCATATGATTCACTTAACCGAGATGTACTCAATTATCATTATTTATCAGTTTGTGATTACGATTTTATTAAACATTAAGTACTATTCATTTATAATCTATCTATTTGTTAATTTCTAATGTTTTAAACAGTAAATGATTTTATTTAACCAGACTTACTTGTTTATTATTTGTTATTAAAACTTTTGAATCCATTTTATACTGTATTCAATCTATTTGTTAAATATATTACTTTCATATACAATTTATACAATTAGAAATTACAATATATAACTTATAAAATAATCTGAAGCAAATAATTTCCACAAAGATTATATTATCACAATTTTTTCAACAAGTTTTATATTTTGATAATTATTTGTACTCCGAGTGCACCTAAGTACAAATACCTAATGCAAAATATTATAAGTTTTATTTTCATACATTTTACACATTTTAATATACAGTATAATAGTAAAAATGATAAAACTATCGTTATTTTAAAGTTATTAACTTAAAGTCTAATAAAAATATTAACGTGTTATTTATATTCAATTATTTAACATATTAAATGACAATTAAAATATGATACAATATATTTATAACCAATAATTATTAATCAAAGATGATAAAAAACAAGTTAACATAAATAAAATTCTTATATGAAATTCGATAGAAATTCTATATTAAAATAAATACATATTTATTTGTGATACAATTACTCTTACATAACAGTAAATGACTTTATTTGCTAATTTATCTTTAAGTGTTTACCTAATTATATACAGAATTTGTTAACATTTTTATATGATAAGTATATATCATATACAAATTCATTATAGCATTACAGTACTTTAAAATAATTTAAATTTCATTCATTATTAAGACATCAATTGATATCTTATTAAGTATTTACACCAAAACAGTCTATCGTTTTTGAATGCCTACCACAAGCCGTTTAGCCTGTAATAGGTTGCGGCCCTTATTGAAGATCAGCGGGACGTCAGTATTGGCCACTCTGGAGAACCGGAACTGCTGTGAGATCTTAGCTAAGGCTAGCTTTGCCTCCAATAATGCAAATCTCATTCCAATGCAATTTCGTGGACCCGAACCGAAAGGGATATAAGTATACGGTTTGATGTTTTCCC